ACCTGAGCCACTGCGCAGGCCTGGCCGGCGCTCCTGGCGCGCAGGCGCCCTGGCAGCTCATTGTTCCAGGTTCTGCGGCCGCGCGGAGGGGGGCGGGGGGAGGGAGGAGCAAGCTCCCGGGGCCATTCTGCGCAGGCGCCTCGGAGGGCTGTGTCCCTGAGATCACACTTCCATGGCACCGCCTCCTACAAGGAGTGACGTCAGGTCAGAGCTCCCCGAACACGTCCGGAGGTCCCCAAACCCCGGCGCTCCAGCCGCTTCAGTCCCGGGCCGTCCGACTTCTCAGCGGCGGGCCGGCCACCGGCGACAGCGCGACCATACCCTCCGGCTGTTTGCTCGGTTGGTGAATTGGGAAGGGAGGGGTGAGGGATTAACAATAAACGTGTCCCTGCGGGAGGAGGAGGGCTGGAGGCCGGATTTCTGAGTTTTTGAAATAGAAAGGAAAACGCATCCGTCAAGAGGACCGGAGAGGACTCCGGGTCCCTGGGGGGTAGGGTCTCGGCGCTGGATTTCTCGGTCCCTGGGCGTGATCCCCGAGCATGGAAGAAGGGACAGGGTGGAGGACTGAAGTCTAGGGCCAGAGTGGGATTACAGCCAAGAACACTGCCGGGAGCCCCCTGACCCCGGGCTTCCCCGTCGCTTGCTTTCCAGCTATGCCTCTACCGCGGGGTGACGTCACCGCCCTGTTCCTGGGGCCCCCGGGCGCGGGGAAGTCGGCGCTGGTTGCCGCGCTGTGCAACAAGGACGTGGAGGTGGTGGAGATCCCCGATGGGCGTCCAGACCCCGCACTCCCCAGCCTGCGAGCTGCGGGCCCAGGCCTCTTCCTGGGTGAGCTGAGTTGCCCACCCGCTGCGCCCGGGCCCTGGGCAGCGGAGGCGAACATGTTGGTCCTGGTGCTGCCCAGCCCGGAGGGGAACGACGAGCCCTTGGCCCCAGCGCTGGGGGAGGCAGCGCGGGCCGCACTGGCCCGAGGAACCCCGCTGCTGGCTGTGCGGAACCTCCGACCCGGGGATCCACAGAATGAAGCCCAGGCCCGCGATCAGACAGCGGCCCTCCTGGACAGCGCTGGGTTGGGAGCTGTGCCTCTCTATGTGCTGCAGGCGGACTGCGACGACTGCGAGGAGCTGGAGCGCCTGCGGGCGGCGCTGCGGAGCCAGGCGGAGGCACTGCAGAGGTGAGCCCGGCGTTTCGGGGTGGGTTGGGGAGGTCTGGTCTTTTAATGCAGACATCACCCCAGAGGTGCTCTTTAAGTCTTCCAGACCCTGCCCTCAGCGAGTTTGCAGCAAGCCTTACCGCAAAACTGCTCCCAAATCCAAGAATCCAGGCCCGGTCCCTCAGCGATGCTCCAATCCAGCAAGCGGCTCTGCTTGACCCTCTTTTGTTAGATAGGCCCCGCCCTAGCCGGGGGCCAGCGAGAGCTCAGGACCTGTCATCCAGGTCCCGCCTCCTGAGTGCTCTGAGGTCACAAGCCCCTCTCCCTAATAGGAATTCTAGAAGAGGCCGGGACCTATCCCCCAAATACTGCCCCCATGCAAAAGTGTGAAGAAGGGCTCACTCTTCCGCACAAGCTAGTGATCCTCACAAAGATTTTACCTGAAGGCTTGTAGTCTCAAATCTTCCTCATCCTCCCTATCTGCATGGTTCTCAAGTGACCCCAGTTGCCCTAAAGCCACGCCCTCAGGGAGCTTCATTATTTCTGGGTACCCTCCCCCATTGCCATTCTCTAATCTCCTCTCATTTTTGTGCCCACTTGCTGGCTGCCCTCCTGAATTTTCTCCGCCAGCTGCCTCTGGCTTAGGGAGGGGCAGCCTCTCCTCCCGTCCCACTGCTCCTCTATTTTCCTTAGCCACGTCCCGCTGGTAAGAACCAGTTGGTGAGATTTCTCCCTGGTCTTTCCTCCCGTCCTTACACCAGTGTCAGCAAAGAGCCCTCTTGGTGACCTTGCCCATATCGAAGAGTGAATAGAGCTACACTTTCATTTAGCCCACAATACAGTGCTGATTCTGTCTTTGCTCCAAGCCCTGCCTGCCCAGTGTGTTGCCCCACCCAGCACAGCCTTTTCTTACCCTTGCAGGCCCCTAGGAAAAGCCTCACCCCAAAGACTCTATGCCGGGGAAGACTTAGCTGGGTTTGGTTTTCGGCCGGTCGGAAACCTAAGCTCATTCAAGCCACCCCATCCCTGCTTTAAACCTCTCCCTTTTCATCTTAGCCCTGGTTTCTATTTGCTGGGACATCAACTGGCCCCCTCCCTCACCTGCTCCTTCATCACTCAAGGTTATTCAGAAAGTTCCACATTTGTCATCATAGCCCAGTCCTGTCCCCTAGCCCAGCTCTCTGGGGCTTTAGTCCCGCTTCTGCCTTTGATCCTATCCCTTCCTGTCCCCACAGGCTCCTGCCACCGGCTCAGGATGGCTTTGAGGTGCTGGGAGCAGCTGAGCTAGAGGCTGTGCGAGAGGCCTTCGAGAAGGGGGGCCTGGAGGCAGCACTCTCCTGGGTTCGTGCTGGCCTGGAGCGGCTGGGTAGCGCCCGGCTGGACCTGGCCATAGCCGGCACTGCTGACACGGGCTTTGTGCTGGACATGCTGCTTGGGCTGGACACCGGGGACCCAGGTGCTGTGCCTGCTTCGGCGCCCACGGGGCCCACACCCTACCCGGCCCCCGAGCGCCCCAATGTGGTGCTCTGGACCATCCCTCTGGGCTCCATGACTACTGCTGCCGCCCCCCACCCAACCCACTACGACGCCCTCATCCTGGTCACCCCTGGAGCCCCCACTGAGGAGGACTGGGCCCAGGTCCGGCCCTTGGTGCTAACGGATGCCCCGTTGGTCTGTGTGCGAATAGACGGTGAGGGCGAGGATCCGGAGCCCCTGGAAGAAGAGGAAAAGGCAGAGAAGCCCAGCAGGGAGAGTGTAGAGAACGCAGGCGGAGGGGGGTTGGAGGAGGCACGCAGCGAGGGAAGGGACAAACGTGGCGCTGGGTCGCAGAAGGCAGGCAGTGAGAGTTCGCAGCAGGCTGGCGGCAACGCGAAGCAATCGGGCAGTGGGGACTCTGAGCGCGCGGCCGCCTGGATCCCCGAGGACGAGACGTGGGAGGTGCTGGAGGAGGCGCTGCCGCCCGTGTTTCCCTTGCGGAGGGGCGGACTCCCCGGCTAGTGCCGGGTGAAACATCTTCAAGGTATAGGAAACATCCTCAGAACAGACTTCTGCACAAAGGCTTAGCAAGGGCTCATTTTCTTGACAACGAGGTTTAAAACAGTGATTCTTTCATGGGCTACATTACAGCTCAACTACTATTCAAAGGAGTTAACATTCGAAGTTTGAAATAAGATTATTCATGGAGGGGGGATCAGAAGCCACATTTAGAAAAGCAATCAGGTAAACTCAGAAGCAAACTTTATTGGTTATTGCTGGCGCCCCATGCGCCTGCTCAGTGAGAGGTGGGATGAAGGCCAGGGCCACCGGGGTACTCCTCCAGGGGCTGAGGACTCCAAGTCTGGTTTAGAGGGAGGGGTTTAGGGGTCCAGACTCTGGCCTGGGGTGTCTGGGCCTCAGATAACAGAGCAAGTTTGTCGCCAATACGAATCCTGGATGCTTGAGGGGGTTGAGACTGGCTATTGGTTGGGATATGTGACTTCTAGTCACCCGGATTCCTAGGTCTTGGAGGGGAATAGAATCTGGGAGTCCGAACTCCTGATTTCTCTGGGGATCATGGGGGCAGGACCCCTAGCCGTGTGTCCTGAAGGGAGTTGAGCAGTTGGACTCTAGAAGGGAGTAGAAACTGGATGTCTTGGACATCTAGTCCTCCAGGGGTAGGTGGTGTGGAAGCCCTGATTCCTGGTGAGGGACTTGTCAGTGGTAATGGGGATTCCAGAATGGAGGAAGGGATCTGGGTACTCCAGGGAGCGGGAACGCTTGGACTTCTAAGGCACAAAGGGATATGGGGTGTCGGCTTTCTAGGGGGAAAGATGTAGTGGGCTGTGAACCTTCATGGGGGGAAGGGCAGGCTCGGGGGCTCAGACTCCTGGCTCCCAGGAGGGCTGTGGACCGTGGTTCCTAATTCCTGGGTGGTGGGAGGTCTGCATCTGAGGAGGGAACAGGGCTGTGTGACAGAGCTAGAAACCCATCTCGTGGGGAGGAGAGAGATGTTCAGTATTTGCTCCTGGGGAAGGGGGACCCCAGCATTTGTGGGGAGGATGAGGGGAGGAGGGGAGGGGCCTGGCGGGCTCTGGGGGGTGGCCAGGCACCAGGAATGAGGCTTTCTGGCAACGGAAGGGCAGGAACCCCTGCCTCAGAGGTCTCTCCTGCAAATCCCTGATGGGTTTGGGTCCTGGAAACTGCCCCTCTTTCTGTGACTTTGGGAAGGGGTAAGACGGCTCCGTTTCATAGGTGCTGGGTGAGTGAGTGGGGAGCTGTCTGGGCAGTCTCTTCCTCTCCTTTAGTGGCTTCTAGTTTTGGACTTGGTTCCTGCTGTCATTAAACATGAACCCTTCCTGGCCTCGGTACTTCTGTACATCTGCCTTTGTGGAGAAGCCGCTGTACTGCTGCACTAATCCAGACCTTCCTGTGTTCGCT